ATTTATTCAAGTAAAGTTACACCCTCACCAGAATAAAATTGATTAAATAAATAAATAAATAAATAAATAATTAATTAAGCTTAAAAGTAATTAAATTAAATTAAATAATTTTAAAATCTATAAAAAAGATTTTCCCCTCTCCCAATGCGTGAACCACTGCAATTATTAAAAGAAAATAATTAATCTGTCATTTTGTACCATCACATGATAAGCATGAGCCGAACCGTACTCAAAGGACAACCCAACCCTCCAATAGTTACAAAAAAAACAAAAGAATGTCAGCATTTAAATTACCAACTAATTCATATTTATTTTTTTTTAATCCAATAACTTTTCTTTATTGCAAACATAAAAAAATAAGACGAGAGATTTAGGGTTTGTTTGGGGCAGCAGCAGCTTATTGAATAATCTGCTGATAAGCTAGATGCGGTAGCTATTACAAAATTTTTATTTTTTTTTTGAAAAGTCAGACCGCAGCCAGAGCTCCCATCGCACCTAAATAGGTTCGGTGTGAAAACACTGTTTCTGCGTTTTGAAAACACATAAGCTGCCAAAACGCAGTTTACCCAAACATGACAGATGCATTTTCAAAACGTCACCGCACTAAATAACACTGCACTAAATAAACTGTCTCAAATGAACCCTTACATATCTACCAGCTAATTCTTATGTATTAAAGGCATATCAACCTAAAGATCACCCAACTTACATAGGAATTGTGGGGTAGGAATGTAAAGGCCTCACATAATAATTGGTTCTTATTATTATTCCTAAATAAAAGAAAAATATATTTTATAAACTCATAAGAAAATAAGTTTGAGTTGGATGAAATTTTTTGAATTTTATTTTAACTTTTAAAAATACACTATATTTAAAATATTATTTGTTAATAAATTTTAAATTAAATTATAATTAAAAATAAATAAAATCATATCTCATAGTACAATTTCTAATTAGAACTGGTACCTACATGATGATATTTCATTAAAATTAAAATTTTCTAAGTGTAATCCTTCTCTCTCTTCTTCCCCACTCTCTGTTGCGATCTCCCTCTCTCTAGTTCACATATTTTGACACGTAAAAATTGTTGTAATATTGTTGAAAGTTTTAAAGAAATTTTCGACGGCTTAACGATCATTGGTTATTAAAGTCAATTCTGACGGTTTTTTGACTCACTAAATTGTAGCTTCCTAGTTAAAAGCATTTCCGACCGTTTTTGAGAAGTCACCGATGGTCCATACTGTTGGTTCATCTTGACTCATAAACTGATGAACTAATGTCATCGTAAATCCAAGAGGTCAGTTTTTCGAGCTTCATTTCGTAATTCATCAAAGAAAGAAAGTTATGTCAAAACCAAAACTTTATTTTTGGGATGAATCCTGCCATTCTAGAAAATACAAATGCTAAACCATTAGGAGGTTTATCCATGTAGAAGAATTTGAAAACATTGTCTGTCATGGTTCTGAATTTTGAAATAAAATGCCCTTAAACTATAGTTTAAAGTTGAAACTTTTTATGCTTGAGTATTAAATTTTATTGAACCATTTGTACCATCACTAAAGAAAATTTATATATCAGTTGTAGTAGATTGTGTCTCGAAGTGGATAAAGGAAGTAGCTTTACCCAAGTGTGATTCACCAGGCGTTAAAAATTATTAAAAAAATATATTTTTAGAAGATTTGGAACACCACAGGTTTTTATTAGGCAGTGTTTAGTATGAGATTTAAACACGAATTATATATTAATTTAACATAAATTCGCCAAACACCGAAAATGGAATTTAAGAATTTCACGGTAAGTTAAATCAAAATTTTTCGATATTCTATTTAGACTATAATGTAAACCCAATTTTATTAAATCCAACTATTCAGATTTAACATGGGAACAAAAAACTTTGAAGAGATTTATGTAAACACGTCAGACGGATTTAATCTTAAATCAACCAAATATTATTTCAGATTGAACAATATTTGGAGTAGATACATATAGATTTATTGAATTTACTAAATCCTAATTAACTTAAATCCTATTAGTACCCAAACGCCCCCTCAGTGATGAAAGAAGCTACATCTATAATAAAAGTATTGAAACATTAATTACGAAGTATGAGATTAATAACATAGTTTTTACTACATATCGCCATCATACTAGTGACTTAGCAGAAATTTCTCATGGAGAGATTAAGAATCTAGAAGAAAATGTTAACCCAACTAGACAGGATAGTTTCCTTTGGCTAGATGATACACTGCGAGTTTATAGAACTGTTTTTAAGACTCTAATAGATGTCACCCTAAAGGTTGGTTTTTTGAAAAGCATGTCATTTAGCTGTAAAGTTAGAACATAAATTCTATCAGACAACTAATGAGTTTAATTATGATATAAAATGTTTGACAGGATAAATGATATAGTTAAATGAATTAGAAGAAATTAGAATACAAGCCTATAAGAATACTAAGATTTATAATGAATAGATGAAAAATGGTATGATCATAAGCTTATTAAGAAAGATTTTAAGCATGGATAGAAGATGCATACTTTTTATTGAAATTATTTTAAAAAAAATTAAAGTCCACGTGGTCTGGTCCACTCACGATAGTAAGGGTTTATCCATTTCGAGTTGTTGATATGAAGGATGTGAAAACTGCCTATAGTTTTAAGGTTAATTGACAAAGTTTTAAACCTTATTTAATAAGTGAGAGTATGGTCCAAGGAAAATCATTGACTTGAGTGATCCTAAGTAAGAATTTAACATCTTTAAGATAAGAACTTTAAACCAAATGCTTCTTGGAAGGTAAGTCAAGTATTTTGGTGATGAAGTTTATCATGTGTTTGCTTCAGTTTGATGTATTTTATTATGTGTTTGTTCAAATTTCTTTGGTTTGCATCAGTGCTATGTATGACTTAGAAGATTTCAGGATATGTGAACCCCCAAAGGAGCACCTAGGTGTTACCATTTGGAAATCCAATGCTACCTTCTTGTCCTAGTGCCTTAGTGCCCAATCTGATTAACGCCTAGGTGCTTCCCTTATGCTTCTCCCTATTTTGTACATTTGGATGAGCTCTTAGGCGCTACATGTGAAAATATGGCGCCCTACACTTATACTTACTTATGTTGCTCCTTTTTTATCCATTTTGCCTCTAATCTTCATTCTATTTCCATGGCCGAAAGAACCAAGCTCGAGGAAGGAGCAACATAAGGAAGGAGCAACATAAGTATTATAATGTGAGGAAAGAACCTAGGGTTTCCATGAGTTTTGAGGTGATATTTCTTCACATTATTCTTCCATTCTTTGCATTCCTTTGATTGTATCTCCTTCTCCTTCATTTCTTTAGTAATCTATGGCTCATAAGACCAAGGAAGGGAAACCCCCCATAACTTCGGATTCTAAGAAATTGTTACTATTAAGTAGTAACCCTATATAATGATTTCTTAGTTTCTAAGAAACTCGTTCCTCAAAGGGTTTTTCTTAACGCCAAGGTAGGTTAAGGTAGAAGGAAAGATTTATGAAAGAAAATAGAAGTTTTGTTTTAAGATTGTGATTACTATGACTCTTGCCATTAACTTAAGAAAATGGGAGAAGGTTTGTTTGAAATCAAATTATGAACTTATTAAAATCATTATCTTTCTTATCGATCCACTTAACATTTGGTTCATTTATGATAACAAATTGATTAACTTTCCCACTCCTGCCTTGAATGCTGAGTCAAAACCTTGGCATTATGAAGTCATATTGAATCCTTTTGCTTTGCCATTGCATGGGTCTGATCTGGTCTTAGGCATGCAGTGGTTACAATTACTCAACCTCGTGTTACATAATTATACTAATCTTACTATGCAACTTTATCAAAATAACAAATAATTGACATGACACGAGAACCATAAATCCATTCTTACGTAATTAATGTTATCAGTTTTGATCTTTAATGTCCACCAAATCTTCTGAATTTATGTTTGCATTACATGCCCATCTCATGCATCAAATATCCTCATTTCAATACCTGCTTTTAATGACTTATTTCAACAATTAAAATCCAAACTTTCCCCTTCTATTTTAGACATTTTATGGCATTATTGCAATATATTTAACCCACACAATTGTTTACCTCCACATCAAAATATTGCTGATCGCAATTATTTACAACTTGGTTCAAAGCCAATTAATGTACAGCCTTATCATCATTGACAATTGCAAAAAATGCTATATAACTCTTTGTCAACAACATGCTTGCTACTGGCATCATTCTACATAATCAGACATTTCTCTAGTCTAGTTCTCTTAGTAAAAAGGTATAACTGAACTTGATGATTTGGTGTAGAGTATTATACATTGAATGCCATTACGATTAAAGATAAATTTCTCATTACCACAGTTGATGAACTTCTAGATAAGTTACAAGGGGCCTATGTTGTTTTCAAAACTAGATTTGTGCTCTGGCTACCATCAAGTTAGAAAGCATAAAAAGTGAGGTAAGAAAAAAAAAGATTGAAATGATTAGATATTTTCTCAAAACTACAATCTTAAAACAAAATTACAAAGTGACTACATTTTCTCAAAACTACAAAGTGACTACAGTTGATTCGGATCTGCTCCAATTATCACAGCCATTGCATTTTTAGTTTCCCATCCTACTCCTGCAACCCAATCTGACTAAATGAGATTAATTTCATAAAAACTGAACCAGGATTGAAAAACTTGGTGGAATCAATCTCAATCTCTCTGAGTAATTGGAGAGAACTGTTGCAATTACTAAGATAATTGGAGAGAAACCAAATCCCATGCTTCTGGTTTTCTTTTTCTTTCTTTCTTTCTTTTTTTGCTACTGGCGTTTAAGTGTTCATAACAAGTGGAATTATAATTTCAGATATAACAGTAACTAAATGACAAGGTACTAGTTCAACGTATAGAGTCCGTAGGCAAGGCAAATGCCGATGGAGTGATCTAGGGAGACTACAGAGGTCATCTACCATGATGAACAACAACCTAGGTATTACTTTCCAATTTCAGCACATCTTAAACTTTTATACATAGTAAAACAGGGAGCAAATTATAAGTGGGTCACAAGAAAAGAAAAAGGATAAATTCAAGCTAGCAATTACAAAGGCTTTATTCAACCTACAAGATTTTGAAAAAAGATTTCCAAAGTCATATCTTCAACAACCAAATCAATATCCATGACACAGCATATGGTTTTGAGATGGAGAAACTCCAAATTTGGATGTCTCAGCGCCTCAAAAATTACCAGCACTATCGTCCAACTGCTTATCATCTTCTATGTCAACCTCCAAAACTTCCTGGTTAAATCACCATATGTATCACCATCATTTCGATCATGAAACCGAAAGCAAAATTGCATTTTGAAAAACTTCATCATGAACATCATACCGGAATCCGTTTCTTGAGATAATTAGCCAACCTTGCCAGAACTGTTTCTCTCTTATGCCAAAACCGGCCCTGAAGCCTCAGCTTCACAAAGGGACCATCCAATTCAGCTAGTTGAACCTCCCCTAAAACACATTTCCATCATTATACCAATTTGAGCAAACAAAAAACAGAAAGAAGATCACCATTATCGTTACCAGTAATGCCCACTGATGCGTCAAATATCTGAGCAAACTGAATACCAATAAAAATTCACTCAAATGAATGATTCAATATCAACTCGTTTACAGAATAAAATGTAATTGTGTTTAACAGGAGAAAAGATCAAAGTTTTCGCTAGAATATAATCACCGACTTCTTTATCCAGTAAATATATTCTAAAATCGAGTGCAAATTCTGCAACTGAAACTTATTTACACAACTTTACCTCTGATTTAGCGTCTATCAGAACTTGTTTGACGTTGTCCTCAGTTAGGTCAAGATGGGGGAGAGTAGCGGCGATGGCCGGAAAATGCAAGCGCCGACGAGATGAACTAAATCTCCGGCATCGGAGATCACTTCGTTGTAGGGTTAGGGTTTGTAAAGTTTGGATTTTGGCAAGGGATGAGGGGTAACTGAGAGAGTAGGGAGGGAGCGAATGGTGGTATGTTTGAAAAGCCATTTTGTGGTGGAAATATTGTCAAGACTTGAGAGAATGGTACCATATGTATTGAGCTTCAAGGTTTGTATCTTAATTTTCATAAACTTAGCGGTTAGACGAGCTCTTCAATTCTAGAAAATATTGCATCAAGATTTTGTAGGTATGATTGATAGTATTTTAAATGTTATTGATAGTTTTATAAATTATGTTAATATAATATCACCACAATACTACCAATGACATCTAAAGTACTATCATTTGCACCTAATCCAGATGCAGCTCATCTAGATGTAATAATTTCTCGTTGAATTTAATAACTTATGCATTTAAGCATAAAAATATATTATTTTAAAAATAATTTATTTTTAAATTATTTTTTTTAGTTAAGGTTATTTCTATGTAGGGAGAATTTATGTTTGAATTATGCAAGTCTTTGTCCATTGATGATTATTTTTAATGTTGTTTTATGCGAAGATTATTTAGCTTGCCAATCTAAAATTAATAAAAAGTTTCGAGCTTATTTTGGATTTCTTTTAAAACATATTTTTTACTATATTTTTTAATTTTTCAACTTTTTTATTTTTAAAAATAAATTGATTTATTATTAAAAACATTGAAACTATCTAGAAGTTATTTTGTGTGTATATTGAAAATAATTAATTATATTATAAGATATCAAATATATTTTAATTTAAGTGAAAGGATAAATAAAAAAAACAAAAATAAAAAAAATAATAGTTATCCCAAATGACTTTGTTGACCTCACTTTTGGTTGAGGTCTA